AATGGTATAGATGGTATTTCCTTGTTCCAATGGTATAGGTTGTATTTCCTTTATCCAGTGGTATATATCATATTTACTTATGGTAGATCGTATTTGCTAGTTTCAGTAGTAGACCGTATAACCTTATTTCAATGATAGATCGTTTTCCTTGTTTAAGTGGTAGGTAGTATTTCCTTGTTTAAGTGGTAGGTAGTATTTCCTTGTTTAAGTGGTAGATCTTATTTCCTTGTTCCAATGGTATAGATCTTACTTCCTTGTTCCAATGGTATATATCTTATTGCCTTGTTCCAATGGTATGGATCTTATTTCCTTGTTCCAATGGTATAGACCTTTTTTCTTTGTTCCAATGGTATAGATCTTATTTTCTTGTTCCAAAGGTAGGAGGTATTTGCTTTTTTCATTTGCAGATCGTATTTCCTTGTTTCCGTCGTAAAACGTAGTTTCCTGTTCCAGTGGTAGATTGTATTTCCTTTTTACAGTGGTAGATTTTATTTCATTGTTCCAGGGGAAGCCAGCCAAATAGCGTCCATATGTCTATAAATGCAATGAAATCAATGCTTATCTGACGCTCCTCCTTCAGCTGCGCATAACACGAGATCATCGTAAGAGGCAAACATTTGATGACTTTTGGCTGTTCCTTGAATACCCTCTGCACTGAAGATACAGACATTTTGATATCGCAATTATTAGGATTTTTTTTCCAGATTACTAATAACTATTAATTTAGCATATTGTGTACGAGTTTTTAACATTCGTGCCAGTTATTTAACGCCATCTATATTTAATATGAAGACCAAGCAGGCTGCATGCAATATGCATGTAGCAAATTAGTCTTGATACCGGTCTGAATATATAAAAACTTCGCTTAAACCTATATGACTCTAACGCCAATTATCTCCGAAGGTTATGTGGAGTATTTTCTTCGAGTCAATTAATCATTTTCATGCTTTGCCGAGGCAAAACGATGACTTATTGATGAAGCAGTAGAGATTGAATTGAGGCCTAATTTGCAGCCACATCAATACGTGATATGTGGAGTGCTACGGAGGCTGGGTCGATATTAACCATTCTGTGAGACATTACATTTATGATTCAACAAGCGCGTGCTCAGTTGTTAAAAACCGATTTTTGTGATTTTTTTACTCCTCTATACTTTAAATATCCCACTAGACAGAATGAAAAGACGACTTACCGTCATGTGCGCAGTGTGGTTTCCGGTGTACAATATTAAACCTTCTGTACATAGTACTGTTAGAACCAGGGCGTAACAGGAATCAGTAAGATGTTCTAGCAACCGTTAATATGAAACAGTAACCGTAATTATCGATACTGTTAGTATGAGAAAAGAACCGTTTATATGGACCAGAGGCCTTTGATACGAGACAGGAACCGTTAATGTGGTAAATGAACCATTTATATGGGCCAGATACCGTTGATACGAGACAGAAACCGTTAATTTGTGACAGAGACCTTTAATATTGGACAGAGAGCGTTTATATGGGCCAGAGACCGTTAATATGAAACAGGAACCGTGAATATGATAAAGGAACCGTTTTTATTGGACAAAGACCGTTAATATGAGACAGGAATCGTTTTAATGATAAAGGAACCGTTTATATGGGCCAGAGATCGTTAATATAAGACAGATACCGTTAATATGAGACAGGAACCGTTAATATGAGACAGGAACCGTTAATATGAGATAGGAACCGTTAATATGACAAAGGAATCGTTAATATGAAACAGAAACCGTTAATACGAGACAGGAACCGTTAATGTGGTAAAGGAACCATTTATATGGGCCAGATACCGTTGATACGAGACAGAAACCGTTAATTTGTGACAGAGACCTTTAATATTGGACAGAGAGCGTTTATATGGGTCAGAGACCGTTAATATGAAACAGGAACCGTAAATATGATAAAGGAACCGTTTTTATTGGACAAAGACCGTTGATATGAGACAGGAATCGTAAATATGATAAAGGAACCGTTCTTATTGGACAAAGACCGTAAATATGAGACAGGAATCGTTTTTATGATAAAGGAACCGTTTATATGGGCCAGAGATCGTTAATATAAGACAGATACCGTAAATATGAGACAGGAACCGTTAATATGAAACAGAAACAGTTAATATGAGATAGGAACCGTTAATATGAAACAGAAACCGTTAACATGCGACAGAGACCATTGATATGGGACATAGACCGTTAATATGAGAAAGAAACCGTTAATATGAGAAAGGAACCTTTAAGTCGCCAATATGAAACTGTGTAATTGGGCATTATATGCCTAGAATGGGGTACGTTTCCTAGCTGCGTCCGAAAGGCAATGTTTCATATACTGTTATTAATTGCATTGTTATCGATGTGTTCCTGATTGTATAATAACACAGGTGTTTTTGATTATATAATTACAAAGGCGTTCCTGTTGGTATTATAACACAAGTGTTTTTGATTGTTTAATTACGCATGTGTTTTTGATTGTTTAATTACACATGTGGTTTTGATTGTTTAATTACACATGTGGTTTTGATTGTTTAATTGCACATGTGTTTTTGATTGTATAATAACACAGGTGTTCCTGATTGTATAATTACAAAGGCGTTTCTGTTGGTATTATTACACATGTGTTTTTGATTGTTTACTTACACATGTGTTCCTGGTTGTATAATTACGCATGTGTTCCTGATTATATAATTACACAGGTGTTCCTGGTTGTATAATAACACAGGTGTTCCTGGTTGTATAATTACACAGGTGTCCCTGGTTGTATTATTACACAGGTGTTCCTGGTTGTATAATAACACAGGTGTTCCTGGTTGTATAATTACACATGTGTTCCTGGTTGTATAATTACAAAGGCGTTCCTGTTGGTATTATAACACAAGTGTTTTTGATTGTTTAATTACACATGTGTTTTTGATTGTTTAATTACACATGTGGTTTTGATTGTTTAATTACACATGTGGTTTTGATTGTTTAATTGCACATGTGTTTTTGATTGTATAATAACACAGGTGTTCCTGATTGTATAATTACAAAGGCGTTTCTGTTGGTATTATTACACATGTGTTTTTGATTGTTTACTTACACATGTGTTTCTGGTTGTATAATTACGCATGTGTTCCTGGTTGTATAATAACACAGGTGTTCCTGGTTGTATAATTACACATGTGTTCCTGGTTGTATAATAACACAGTTGTTCCTGGTTGTATAATTACACATGTGTTCCTGGTTGTATAATTACACATGTGCTTCTGGTTGTATAATAACACATGTGTTCCTAGTTGTATAATAACACATGTTTTCCTGGTTGTATAATTACACATGTGTTCCTGGTTGTATAATAACCCATGTGTTCCTGGTTGTATAATTGCACATGTGTTCCTGGTTGTATAATTACACATGTGTTTCTGATTGTATAATTACACATATGTTACTGGTTGTATAATAACACAGGTGTTCCTGGTTGTACAATTACACATGTGTTCCTGGTTGTATAATTACACATGTGTTCCTGGTTGTATAATAACACAGTTGTTCCTGGTTGTATAATTACACATGTGTTCCTGGTTGTATAATAACCCATGTGTTCCTGGTTGTATAATTGCACATGTGTTCCTGGTTGTATAATTATGCATGTGTCCCTTGTTGTATAATTACACATGTGTTCCTGGTTGTATAATAACCCATGTGTTCCTGGTTGTATAATTGCACATGTGTTCCTGGTTGTATAATTATGCATGTGTCCCTTGTTGTATAATTACACATGTGTTCCTGGTTGTATAATAACACATGTGTTCCTGGTTGTATAATTGCACATGTGTTCCTGGTTGTATAATAACACATGTAAAGGCGTTTCTGTTGGTATTATTACACATGTGTTTTTGATTGTTTACTTACACATGTGTTTCTGGTTGTATAATTACGCATGTGTTCCTGGATGTATAATAACACAGGTGTTCCTGGTTGTATAATTACACATGTGTTCCTAGTTGTATAATTACACATGTGTTCCTGGTTGTATAATAACCCATGTGTTCCTGGTTGTATAATTGCACATGTGTTCCTGGTTGTATAGTTACGCATGTGTTCCTGGTTATATAATTACACATGTGTTCCTGGTTGTATAATTGCACATGTGTTCCTGGTTGTATAATTATGCATGTGTCCCTTGTTGTATAATTACACATGTGTTCCTGGTTGTATAATAACACAGTTGTTCCTGGTTGTATAATTACACATGTGTTCCTAGTTGTATAATTACACATGTGTTCCTGGTTGTATAATAACACAGTTGTTCCTGGTTGTATAATTACACATGTGTTCCTGGTTGTATAATAACCCATGTGTTCCTGGTTGTATAATTGCACATGTGTTCCTGGTTGTATAATTATGCATGTGTCCCTTGTTGTATAATTACACATGTGTTCCTGGTTGTATAATAACACAGTTGTTCCTGGTTGTATAATTACACATGTGTTCCTGGTTGTATAATAACCCATGTGTTCCTGGTTGTATAATTGCACATGTGTTCCTGGTTGTATAATAACACATGTGTTCCTGGTTGTATAATTACACATGTGCTTCTGGTTGTATAATAACACATGTGTTCCTAGTTGTATAATAACACATGTTTTCCTGGTTGTATAATTACACATGTGTGCCTGGTTGTATAATAACACAGGTGTTCCTGGTTGTATAATTACACATGTGTTTCTGATTGTATAATTACACATGTGTTACTGGTTGTATAATAACACAGGTGTTCCTGGTTGTATAATTACACAGGTGTTCCTGATTGTATAATAAAGCATGTGTTCCTGAATGTATATTTACACAGGTGTTCTCGATTGTATAATAACACAGGTGTTCCTGGTTGTATAATTACGCATGTGTTCCTGATTGTATAATAACACAGGTGTTCCTGGTTGTATAATTACGCATGTGGTCCTGGTTGTATAATAAAACAGGTGTTCTCGATTTTTTTTTACAGAGATGTTTCTGATTGCCTACTACGTGCTGTTGATCCTGATTTGTATACCGGTGTGCTACGTACAGATAAAGTTAGGCGCCATCTACCGGCGGGGTATAGTGGGGATCTTCAGCCACCTCATCCCCATTCTAAAAGGTGAGTTCGTCATGCTGTATACATAGTTGTGCGATTTGTATACACCAATTAGTAACCTGGTTACCTTAACCTATTCAAATAGTTTTGAAAGAATGTCTTCAACACCGGACTGTTTTTATCATGTTGAGTCACTCTCGTTCGTTAATTTTCAATTTTTAAAATTTGAAAAAATAAGCCACATTATTCCTTGCTTTTCCTTTTGGTATGTTTTGTCTGAAGATTCCGGGAAAATAAATTATATGTTACTAATTAGCCAAAAACCTGTTACTTTTTTTTAATGATACTGAAGGGAAGTCTCATGTTCCAAAATATAAATATTTAAATCGTTTAGATACTACTACAAAGTTCTTATTACCACTAATGTTAGTAGGCGGTGTACGCATGACCAGAAAAACCGCGATTAAAATGCTTTCATTTGATTTAAACATATGTTTTGCCTTTTTTACATAGCAATGGAATTGGGCACAAGTTGTACAACTTCTATCAAGCCCTTTCCCTGTTATTGATAAGTTGACATACATACACCCACACGTTCACACACCCAACCACACACATGGGCACACACATAAACATGCACATGTAGATACAGGTATAGGGAGAGGGGTGGGGGAGAGGGGGAGGAGAGGGAAGAGGGGGTTATAGAGTCCGATTCTTTTAAGATTACTTGATAAGTTCTGCAACAAGACAGTAAATTTAAGAAAATACATATCAGACCACGTGGTTGTTCCTTCTCCATGCGAACGGAACTAGTTATGATATTCGCTGTTCACAACTTTCTTCTGATCAAATCTTCCTCCTGTTCACTCCGTTTCCACTAGTCCGTCCGCACAGAGAAAGACCAAACACACGGCTTCATTATATTTATATATACGTATATTTGTACGTTGAAACTCGTGTTGTCAATCTATTAGTATTAGTAAGGTGCATGTATTAATACAGATGTCGATTTTGAGGGGTGGGGGTATTAAGATCTTTTCGAGTCATGTATAAATCGTATAAAGATAAAGAGTATGCGTGAATATCATTTTGTTTTCTTGTTCCGAAGTTGTTATATCTCCAAAAAGAAGTAGATTCAACGTAAGGGGGATGTTTCATTCAGTTCACGATAAAGTTTAATTATCTGTTCAACATAATTTTCACAGTTAAAAAAGAAACGGAAGGTATCTTCAAAAGGGTAGCCACACATACAATTATCATAAAGAATTTTATGATAAAAGTGCTAAATTTGAACTTTGATTTAATATATCATTATATTCGTTATTTGGCGTATTTTAACCTATAAACTTTCATTCAATCAATACCATCGTGTGACATAAATATAATTAATATCCTGGAACTATATGTGTAAATTGTTTCTCCTGAACTTGTGTCAATTTAGATAAGTTCTATTTATGAAGCTTTTCCTTTAAAGTCGACATGTGTCATTGTTGTCAGATTAACTCATGCATTTACTTTGTCCATCTTATACCATATATCTTTCAACTTAATTATATTACGTAACAGGATTAACTGGTCATACCAGATCGGACACTGCATTCAGTCTCAGACAAAGGACAGCTAAATTGGCTTACCTGGTCGGGTACGGCCGAAGTCTGAAAGGCCGATTGCTATGAATGAC